CCCGGCCTCCATTCAGGTCTTGGTTGTTAAAGCTCATCTTCCAGAGTTTCTACAACAAGGGACCTGAGGAGCCACCTTCCCTGCATTCTAGATGCGTGAAAATGCTAGCCTGCCGCATTTACCATTTAAAACCAGTTAGGCTGGCTACAAAATTCTTGGGTCCTAATTTCTCTCTCTGAGGACAGGGTAAACCCAGTCTAACACTGAATGCTGTTACGGAAACTTCTGAGGTCACTTTTTGGGTGACATTATCTTTCTGCCCGGGTATCCAAAGAATTATTTATTTAAAGTTCAGTTACTTTACACAGATGATCATTCCGCATCAGGTGCTAGGCTGGAGTGCAGTGGCACAATCTCGGCTCACTGCAACCTCTGCCTCCTGGGTTCAAGCAATTCTCCTGCCTCAGACTCCCGAGTAGCTGGGACTACAGGCGCACGCCACCACGCCCAGCTAATTTTTGTATATTTAGTAGAGACGGGGTTTCACCATGTTGGCCAGGATGGTCTCGATCTCTTGACCTCGTGATCTGCCTGCCCTGGGCTCCCAAAGTGCTGGGATTACAGGCTTGAGCCACTGCGCCCAGCCTCTAATGTGCCTGTTCTTTTATGAAATTTACTTTTCCTTTTTATTGAAATTACACATGTACATTGTGTCAATTAGTCCTATAAGACTTATAATTAAGAGGCCAGTCGCCAGGCACGGTGGCTCAAGCCTGTAATCCCAGCACTTTGGGAGGCCAAGGCGGGCAGATCACGAGGTCAAGAGATCGAGACCATACGGTTAACATGGTGAAACCCCGTCTCTACTAAAAAATACAAAACATTAGCTGGGCGTGGTGGCACGTGCCTGTAATCCCAGCTACTCAGGAGGTTGAGGCAGGAGAATTGCCTGAACCCAGGAGGCGGAGGTTGCGGTGAGCCAAGATCACGCCATTGCACTCCAGTCTGGGTAACAGGAGCGAAACTCCATCTCAAAAAAAAAAAAAAAAAAAAAAAGAGGCCAGTCATGTGGCTCATGTTTGTATTCCTAGGACTTTGGGAGGCTGAAGCCAGGAGTTCGAGACCAGCCTGGGCAACATAGCAAGATCCCTGTATCTACAAAAAAATTTAAAAATTAGGCCGGGCATGGTGGCTTACGCCGGTAATCCCCGCAATTTGGGAGGTCGAGGCAGGCAGATCAGTTGAGGTAAGGAGTTTGAGACCATCCTGGCCAACATGATGAAACCCCGTGTCTACTAAAAATACAAAAAATTAGCTGGGCATGTGTCTATAGTCCCAGCTACTCAGAGACTGAGGCAGAAGAATCACTTGAACCTGAGAGGCGAAGGTTGCAGTGAGCCAAGATTGCACCACTGCACTCCAGCCTGGGCAACAGAGTGGGACTCTGTCTAAAAAAATTAAGAATATAAAGCTGGGCATGGTGGCTCATGCCTGTAATCCATGCACTTTGGAGGCCAAGGCAGGCAGATCACCTGAGGTCGGGAGTTCAAGACCAGCCTGACCAACATGGTGAAACCCTGTCTTTATATATATAAAAAAAGAATATGGCTGGACACGATGGCTCACGCCTATAATCCCAGCATTTTGGGAGGCCAAGGTGGGCGGATCATGAGGTCAGGAGATCAAGACCATCCTGGCCATGGTGAAACCTCGTCTCTACTAAAATACAAAAAATTAGCCAGGAATGGTGATGCGTGCCTGTAGTCCAGCTACTCAGGAGGTTTCAGTGAGCTGAGAGTGTGCCACTGCACTCCAGCCTGGTGAAAGAGCAAGACTCCGTCTCAAAAAAAAAAAAAAAAAAAAGAATACAAAAAGCTACTCAGGATGCTGAGGCAGGAGAATCCCTTGAACCCAGGAGGCAGAGGTTGCAGTGAGCCAAGAGCACACCACTGCACTCCAGCCTGGGCGACAGAGCGAGAATCAGTCACACACATACACACAAAACCGGAAATACCTCTTTTACTTTTAAGGTCATAAATTGTCAGTAATTTTCAGTAAATTTCTTCAGGCTGCGGTTTTGTTAACAAACATTAATAACATTGTTATTGTTAATTCCATATTGACAGGGCAACTGCTGTGACAGTGGCTGGCTCAGCAGGGGACAGGAAGCAGAGGAGAAAGGATGAAGAAGGCAGGTAAGGAAGGGTCCCCACATGAACATCGGGTGGAAGTGATTCTTTTGAGAAATCTGGCTGACAGGTGGGGAGAGCTGCGGTCACAGGGTGGAGGGAGGAGTCTGCTTTGCTTTTGTTTTCTTGTTCTTTTCTTGGGATGGGAAAGGCTCAAGCTTGCTCATGGGTGGGGTGGAAAGTGCTAGTAGCCATAAGGGTGCATCCATCAGAATTCTTCCTTCTACAAGGGCAAGAGGCTGGGTGTGTAATCCCCACACTTTGGGAGGCCAAGGTGGGCGGATCACCTGAGGTCCCGAGTTGGAGACAGGGTGAAGCCGTCTCTACTAAAAATACAAAAACTAGCTGGGTGTGGTGGTGCACACCTTTAGTCCAAGCTAGTAGGGAGACTGAGGCTCGGTAATCTTTTGAAACCAGGAGGTGGAGTTTACAGTGAGCCGAGATCGTGCTACTGCACTCCAGTCTGGGCGACAGAGCAAGACTCTGTCTCAGGAAAAAAAGCGAAAGAAAGAATCCAGTTTGTCTGGTTAAACCAAACCATATAACAGGAAAGCCCAGGTGGGGGTGGAAGCAGGGAGATCACCAGATCAGGCCCAGCTGGACATGGCTCCACTGATGCCCTGACTCAGTTCTTCTGTGTGTGTAACCAGTCTGGCCAACATGGTGAAACCCTGTCTCTACGAAAAATACAAAAATCAGCTGGGCATGGTGGTGTGTGCCTGTAATCCCAGCTACTTGGGAGGCTGAGGCAGGAGAATCTCTTGAAACCAGGAGATGGAGGTTGCGGTGAGCCGAGATTGTGCTACTGCACTCCAGCCTGGGTTACAGAGTGAGTCTCCGTCTCAAAAAAAAAAAAAAAAAAAAAAAAAAGACTATTACCAATGGAGAAAGGGTCCATATTCATTCATTCCTTTTTTTTTTTTTTTTGAGATGGAGTCTGGCTTTTGTTACCCAGGCTGGAATGCAGTGGCATGATCTAGGCTCACTGCAACCTCTGCCTCCTGGGTTCAAGTGAGCACGTCGGGCTAATTTTTGTAGAGACCGGGTTTCACCTTGTTAGCCAGGCTGGTCTTGAACTCCTGGCCCCAGTTGATCCGCTTGCCTTGGCCTCCCAAAGTGCTGCGATTACAGGAGTGAGTGCTTGCCCCACCTCTTGTTTTAGTTTTAAGCTGGGAGAAGTAACAACAGCCTGTGATGGAAATGACCCAGGGAGGGCGGAGAGAGGGCAGAGTTTCGGGATCAGTGTTGGCTTGAAGGGTCGGGATCTTGTGGAGAGGGTGGTCGTGGCTAGAAGCTGGACGGGTTCAGCCTGGTCCCAAGAGGGACGGGAGTGTGGGTGCTACCTCAGCAGGTGCGTGGGGGAGCTGGTGGGAATTTCTACTGATTTCTTCAATCGAAGCGTATTTATTGGGTACCCATTGAGTGCCAGGCTCTTTCTCAGGGCTAGGATAGAGGTTCCTTTTTCTCAGTGGCTTGAGCACCGGGTCAGTAACTGAGTGAGAAGATGGGCGAGGTGAGAGCAAGGAGGAGGAGTAGGGAAAGGACGGGGCGGCGTTAAGGACACAGCAAATAACTGGAATTCCGTAAACACTGGGATGATGCAGGCAACGCCCTTAGCACGGTCCCGGCAGGGGGCGGTGGGAGCCGGCCGACCCCGGTCCCAGCGGGTGACACCGTCCTTTCCCCACTGCAGGACATCGAGCTAACAACTCTCTGAACCTCCGTTTTCTCATGAGTTCAGTGGGGAAAACGGGCTTGTAACCCGTAATACCGGCAGCGGGGAGGCCGGGGAGCGCTGCCTACCTGTTGGCCCCTGGGCCAGGGACAGTCCTCACCCGCCCGGGGAACAGCGAGGGCGCGCCGGCAGGGTGCGGGGACCCAGCAGGGGCGCCGGGGAGCGGGACCCGCGGGGCAGTACGGGCCAGGCGGGGCGGGGCGGTGCTGACCACGCCCCGGGCCGGAGGGGCGGTGCTGCCACCCGCCGGGCTCCCGGCCCTGCCCTCCGGCCGCCGCGCAGCACGCCCGGGCCCCAGCTGTCCATTGCCGGCCGCCGCAGGAGCTAGAGGTACGCGGGGCCGCGCCGAGGGTGCAGCAGGCTGGGGCTCCAGGCGGGTTCCGCGGCTCCCCGTGGGGAGGGGGCGCCTCGGGAGGGCAGGGGCTGCGGGGGGCGCGACGGGCAGAGGGGCTGGGCAGCGACCCCAGCCCGGGCCACCTGTTCTGGAGGCGACATTTGTGCGCGCACGATCCCCGCGCTGCGGTACCGGCCGCTGCCTCCACCCCAACTGCGCCCCGAAGTGGAGCGCGGCGGCTGGACCCGCAGCCCCGGGCCTCGCAGGCATTACGCGCCCGGCCCGGGATCCCTCGAGGGCAGCCCCGCCCGGCCGGGTCCCGGGGCTGGAGAGGGGGCGTCGGGGAGAAGCCGGCTCCCAGGCAAGCTCTGCCCCGCGACCTTGGACGAGTCGCGCTCCTCCTTCGGAGGGGGGGCGCCCGGCGGTGCTCGCCCGGGAGTGGATGCGACTGGGGACGGCGATGGGTAGCGGCCGGCTGGAGGGGGCTCTGCCGGGCTGGAGGCGTTGGCGCCGGCCTTAGGGAGGGCAAGGATTTGAACCTGCACAGAAGCGGGAAGGGCCCTCCCGGTGCGGAAAACGGCCTCGGTACGAGCTGGAGAGCTGGACGCGGGGGCGAGCCGGTGGGAGTCGCCCGGCCTCCGCGCCCGCCTGGGATCCGCAGGCGCCCCTCCCTCCTCTCCAGCTGGGAAAGGTTGAGGGCTGAGCGGGAGCGCAGCTGGGCTTGGGAGCGGCTCTGCTGGGGCACCTGGTCCTGGCGTCCATCCCGCTTCACTGCCGGGGCGAGTCCCCTTCCCTCGGTTTCATAATCTGTCATCTGGGGGGACAAGTTCCCACCTCCTGGATAGCCTCGGCTGAGCCTCTGGCCTTGAGAGGGTTAAAGCGCCGTCTCCCCTGCACCCACCCTGCTTTCCGTCAAGACACCCTCTCTGCGGCTTCCTCTCTTCCCCAACGCAGAGCGATTGGCTGTTCCGCGAAGGCCTCTTGGGGTCACTTACCCTGCATTCAGCGAATAACCCCGAGCACCTGATGTCTCAGGCCAGGTCTGGCGTCCCGCTACGAGCTGCCCAAAGACTTCCCCTTTGTCACCTCCTCCCAAAGAATGGGAGAGCCACCCTTCCCAGGATCCCATAGCAGACGGATAGGCCAGGCCTCCCTGAAAACTTCCCACAGCCCTCTCCAGCCGCAGACCTTCACCAGGACCCGAAACCCAGCTACACTGGGTTTCCACAGCTGAAATCCCCCCAAAGAGGGTCCCCAAATCAAAGGAAAACAAAACATAAACGGAAAGAAAGGGCAAGGAGAGATGGACTCCTCTCTGTCATTAGTTTTTTGTTTGTTTTTGAGGGTCTTGCCCTGTCACCCAGGCTGGAGTGCAGTGGTGTGATCCTAGCTCACTACAGATCAAACTGCTGGGCTCAAGCCACGCTCCCACCCCAGCTTCCCAAGTGGCTGGTTCTGCAGGGACACGCCACTACACCCAATTTTGTTATTAGTTTTGCTTTCAAACATTTTTCTAATGCCTTGGGTGCCTGTCGTTGCTTGTCTCCTGGGACAGCTCAGTCTTAGAGGATAAACTTTGAAATGGACAGCCATCTAAAAAATGTGTTTTGTTTCCTTGTACTAATTGAAGCCCTCTAGCTGCCTAGGGTAATGTGTCCGTTAATTTCCAGTTCCTGTGATGGGCCCGGGGACTCCAGTGTGTGGCAGGGTTGGGAGAACCTCTGTAGGTGGCTTGTGTGGAATACCAGGAGGTTGTGACCTACCACATCTGCCCCAGCCAGCAACTGCCAAGCCCACCCAGCCGTGCGCCAGTGGGTTCGGACCTCCAAGGATGCAGTTCATCTGGGATGCAGGTCCCGGAAGGTGGTGGCAGGTGATAGCTCCGCCACCAGGCCGGCTGTCTGAGTTCTGGGGTGCACCTCCTCCCACTCTCGCCAGCTTCCGGCTTCTTTGGGGACCTCCTAGGTGTGTGTGCTCACAAACTGCTGTTGATCACCCTGCATTTTCCTTCTTTTTTCTTTTCTTTTTTTGTTTTTTTGAGACAGTCTGACTCTGTTGCCCAGGCTGTAGAGCATTGACACACAATCTTCGCCTCCCAGGTTCAAGCCATCCTCCTGCCTCAGCCCTGCTAGTAGCTGGGATTACAGGCACATACCACCATGCCCAGCTAATTTTTGTATTTTTTTTTTAAGATGGGGTTTCACCGTGATGGGCAGGCTGGTCTTGAACTCCTGACCTCAGATGAGCCACCCACCTCAGCCTCCCAAAGTGCTAGGATTACAGGCGTGAGCCACCGCGCCTGGCCAATTTTTGTATTTTTAGTAGAGATGGGGTTTTGCCATGTGGGCCAGGCTGGTCTCGAACTCCAGACCTCAGGTGATCCACCTGCCTCGGCCTCCCAAAGTGCTGGGATTACAGGTGTGAGCCACCGTGCCCGGCCACCCTGTATTTTCGTTGGCTCACTGCATCCTTCCCTTCTGATTGGAAGCTCCTGGAGGGAAGGAGTCTTGTCCAGATCCCAATGCCCAGTGCCAGGCCTGGCACCTAGCAGGTGCTTCCTGAATGCTGTTTGAATGAATTAGCTGAAAGAAGTAGGAAAAACCATTCCTGTTTGCATACTTGTAGATAACTATTGTTAACATTTGCCTTTTTTTGCCAGACTTTTTAAAAACATGTTTTTCCAGTGGGGCAAGGTGGCTCGCGCGTGTAATCCCAGCACTTTGGGAGGCTGAGGTGGGTAGATCACTTGAAGTCAGGAGTTTGAGACCAGCCTAGCCAATATGGTAAAATCCTGCCACCCCTAAAAATACAAAAAATTAACCGGGCGTGGTGGCGGGTGCCTGTAATCCCAGCTACTGGGGAGGCTGAGGCGGGATAATTGCTTGAATCTAGGAGGCAGAGGTTGCAGTGAGCTGAGATAGTGCCTCTGCATTCCAGCCTGGGTGACAGAGCGACTCCATCTCCAAAATTAATAAAAAATAAAACTTAATAAATATGTTTTTCCATATTTGAATATGTTGTCTATATAAAATATTTTTCCATTAGTATAATTTCATGAGCATTCCTCATCTCTCAAACATTTTTTATATTTTTTAATGCTTGCATTTTGCTACATCATGTTGAGTTCTTGGATCTCTTTTTACTTCTAAAAAATATATTTGGCTCTTTTAGACAATGTTACATCGAATTTATACATACATTTGTACATTGCCAGTTATTTCCTGGGAAGTAATTAACCTGGCCATCAGTGCATATGAACTTTTAGAATGGCTGTATATTTGTATACCCAGCTAGATATTTCTTGGTATTTCCTAGAAATGAAATTCCTGGGTCAGAGTATGGGCATCCAGGCACTTTGTGTGTTGCTTATTGGTTGGTTTGAGCTCATCAATAAGGTTTTGACCCTTGTCTGGTCTCTGTGTGACAAAGATCATTCCCCAGTTTATTATTTGGCTCTTATTTGTGGGGGTGTGTGTGCGTGGGTGTGTATGGGGGTGTGTATGTAAGTGAGAGAGAGAGAGGAAGAGCAATTTTTTTATTTTACTTAGTGTGCTTTCTGACGAGGGAGAGGTGGCTGCATTTATGAGCTGATAGGAAGGCCAGAAGAGAGCTCAGCTCGCTCAGGCCCAGGAGAAGGAGGGATAAGTTAGTAGGCTGAGGTCCCTGAGGGCTGAGGAGGTGGGAGGATGCAATGCTGCTCCCGAGGGACCTTTTGAACTGGCGAGGACAGGAGGCAAGAGGGAGGGGCTGGGGGAACACTTGGTGAATTGGCTCTGATCCTCCCCAGAGGGAACTGGAAAGTCAGCAGAGGGGAGGGCTCCAGTCCCTTGGTGCTTCCTCCCTGGGAAGGAGCAAGTATGAACACTCCCACTGATGGACTACGCCGGGAGGGGAGAGTGTGGCTCAGGGTGAGTCCAGGCAGGGCCCGTTCAAAGCAGGCTGGCCACATACCTACCACATGCCCCTGGTGACTGCTCTTCTCCCCGAAGCTCCCTGTCTTGTAGTTATCAGGAAGTGGCGCTTCTTTGAGTAAAGTGTCCTTTTCTCTCCCATCTGCCGCCTTTGTCTTCCCTCTGGACAGATCCTGGGGGTGCAGGTGCTTCCAGCTGCACAGAGTTGGCCACAGGACTGGGGGAGCCCCCTTCCATTCCAGGTGGGTGTCCACATACCCTCCCCTGTGCCCACACTCTCGCCCACCACAAGCCTACTCCAGCAGGAGCACCACAGCCTCCTGGGGTCATGCCCGTGCAGAGTGTGAGCTGGCAGACAGGGAGCCAGGTGGGCAGCACATGAGGGCAAAACAGGAAGAGTGTCTCTCTTCACCTTCACTGTTTGAAAGTCATTGTCCCAGGACCCAGAGAGCCCCAACAGTCTGTGGCCATCACTGGCTCCTTTCCCTTGAGTTGGGGGTGGGCCTCTATCCACTGAGCCCACATGAGGTGCCAGACACTGTTACCTGACCTTACCAGACCCTCTCAGCCACCATGTTCTTTTATTCCTTTTTTTTTTTTTTCTTGAGATGCTTTACTCTGGTTGCCCAGGCAGCAGGGCAGTGGTGTGATCTCAGCTCACTGAAACCTCCGCCTCCCAGGTTTAAGCGATCTTCTGCCCCACCCTCCCGAGTAGCTGGAATTACAGGCATTTGCCACTACGCCCAACTAATTTTGTATTTTTAGTAGAGACAGGGTTTCTCGAACTCCTGACCTTGTGATCTGCCCGCCTTATCCTCCCAAAGTGATGGGATTACAGGCATGAGCCACCACACCTGGCCCACCTGATGTATTTCTTTATTTCTTTTCTTTCTCTCTCTTTCACTTTCTTCCTTTCTTTCCTTTTTTTGACAGGACCTTGCTCTGTTGCCCAAGCTGGTATGCAGTGACGAATCAGTCTCCTGGGCTCAAACCATCCTCCCACCTCGGCCTCCCGAGTAGCTGTGACTACAAGCACATGCGTGCTAATTTTTATATTTCTTGAAGAAACGGGATTTTGCTATGTT